GTTGTTTAAACCCTAGACTGCAGACTGTGATGAACACTAACATACAATGAAGACAAAATGACACCATATAGCATGTTTTTTGAAAGCTCTTCTAACAAAATGATAAAAAAACTTTCTGTAACAAAATCTTTGAGGATCTGTACTTGTTTAGTATTGTTTCAAATAATGTGCCTCTGTAGCAGTGTTGGTTGTTGTTCTGATGTTTTCTTGGTTGAATTTTTGCAGATTAAAAGCTCAGCTAGTAGTGTTGCCAGGTACAGTGCTGGTTTAAACTGCTCTCAAGTGGGTAGCTGTGACCTGTAATACCCACATCACTTATGTAAGTAGATTCCATCAAGCAGCTTGTGTCTGTAGCCATTTTAAGGTTCAATTGGGTCAACTGGTAAGGTTGTTTCCTCTATGAAACAGTGAATAACTCTGGACTGGAACCTCTGTAGCCTCTGGGACTTGTTTAAATTGGTATGTTATGGTGCTCGGAACTTGGTCTGTATGCTTTTTATTTTACTCCTGTGTTTTGCTGTTGCTGGCCAAATGGTTGTCTCATTACTTTGTCCTTATTCCTTGGAACCAAAGCTGAAACTACATAAGGCAGAGGTCAGTTGCTTCACGTGTTTTCTGAAATGTATGAGAGACTGAGCATTTTAAAAACACTGCTTGATACTTTAGAATATTCTTTATAAAGACTTGTTATTAACTGTTTTATAAGCAATATGCCTTGGTCAATGAAATTAAAACCCTTTCCATTTTTATGTGTTCCCGAGTGCAAGATGAAGGTCCTTTCCCTGCTTCCTCCAGATAGGAGGGTCTAAAAGAATCCAGCTGCCCTGGTTTGTTTCTTTTTTTTTTTTTTTTTTTTTTTTTTTTTTTCTTTTTGCATTTTAACTCTTGCCTATTCTCTATTTTTCTTGGTTATTTTTAACCCTTGACAGCAACTTCTTTTTTAAATTCTCTAGCAAAAGAATACCCCTTCCCGCACTCTGAGCCCTCACCTACCCTAAAGTTGGTGACCCTTCCTTCACACACCTTCCTGACAGGTATTGCATCCCCTTCCCAATTTTCCTTCAGGTGTCAGTGTTGGCCAAAACCCCTCAGGGCTGTGTGTGCTTGGCACCAGTGGACTCGAACAGTTCACTTGGTTCTGGTTTTGATGTGAGCTGCGTTCTGCGCTACACCCAACATCTGGGGTGGGCAGATCGCTTTTAATTGACTCGTTTGAGAGAAGTAGGTAGGTCTCCCTCTGTAAAGGCTGCTAGTGGAGTGTAATAGCACTGGAATGAGTCCCTAGCATACTTGGCTCTGGCCCAGTACGACAGATATCTGGCAGAGGCATTCCCAGCCGCTCTGCTTCTGATGGGTATTAAGGCCCTTTTTATAGGTCATCTCCAGCAGATTTGGTGGAACTAACTTTACTAGCGCTAGATGGTGAGAGGCTGCTCTGTGACTGTTATAAAATCTTCTGGGGTTAAAAAAAACCCCCGTCCCGTGTTTTTTTTTTTTTTTTTTTTTTTTTTTTTTTTTTTTTTTGGAGTATGCTGAGTGAGTCCTGTTAGATTGCCACAGGATGTTGTCAGGATTCCTGACCCATCGTGGTACAGTCTCAGCTGAATGGCTGTGCCCAGAACTGCTCAGCAGTGCCATTCTTAGCAAAGTTTCTAGCAGCCTGCAGTCTGTCTTAGAGCTGTTGCATCTGAGGAAGCTGACCTGGACAGGGAAGCCTGTCTTCAGTGCTAGCTATCTTTGTTTATTCCAGACACTTAGCAGAGCCCATGTAATTTATAGCTACGTCAGTTGGGTTGGCTTACAAGCGCTTCCTGCTGGAGTTCTTAGAAGCTGAGCTCCACTGGGGCATCACTATCTAGGGGCCAGAACATATGCATACCCTTCCCTCTGTCTGTACTTTGCATTTATGAAATCACAGAATACTTCAGTCAGTCAGGTGCCCAATGCTTCTGTCCAAAGGAGGGTCAACCAGAACAGGTTCCTCAAGGCCATGTCCGGTTGGTTTTTGAGTATCACCAAGGATGGACGCTCCAGTGTCTCCTTGGGCAACCTGTTCCAGTGTATGACAACCCTTGTGATAAAACAGTTGTTTTCTGATGTTTAAGTGGAATTTGTTGCATTTCAGTTTGTGTCCATTGCTTTTCATCACAGAAGAGAGTCTGGGTACGTCTTTACTTCTGCCTATCAGATATTTATGAAAGAGAGAGTGAGACCCCTGCTGACCCTTCTCTACTCAAGACTAAAAATCCTAGCTTTCTCAGCCTCTCATTTTATGTCAGACGCTCCAATCCCATAATCGTCTTTTTGACCTTTCAGTGAACTTCCTCCAGTACACCCATGTCTGTCTTGTACTGGGGAGCCCATAACTGGATCCAGAACCACAGGTGAGATCTTGCCACTGCTCAGCAGAGAGGAAAGATCACCTTCCTCGACTTGCTGGCTCTACTTTTCCTACTACAGTTCTGGGTTGGCTCAAGGGAACATTGCTTGCTCATGTTCAACTTGTTGCCCACCAGGAAAAACCTATGTCCTTCTCTGCTAAGCTGTTTTTCAGATGGTCAGTCCCAAGAACAGGCTGGTGCGTGGGTTTATTCTTCCCCAGGTCCAGGATTTGGCATCTCCCTTTGTTAAATTTCTTGAGTTTCTCGTCAGCCCATTTCTCGAGCCTGCTGAGGTGCTTTTGAGTGGCAGCAGACCCACCCACCTGCTGTTTCAACCGCTCCTCCCAGTTCTGTATTGTGTGCAGACTTGCCGAGGGGCCACTCTGCCCCGTTATCCAGGTCATTAACGAAGATGTTAAACAGTATCAGCCCCCGTGTCAAACCCT